CCCAAGTCAGTAAGGAAAGCGACACGCCCCCTTTCCTACGGGCGCCGTGTCCTCAGGCCGCTACTGGGACCGAGGAGGCAGGTAAGAGGGGACTCTGAAGAAGTCCGTTTCGCGCGACTCCTTGGACTCCTTTCCGTCGTGGCGATCCTGAGGTCCTCGCGAGACTCCTGAGAGTGGTGGCCGTTGTAGCGAGTCCTTGAGGATTCCTTCGATTCTTGGGATTCCGGGGCGCTGTAACGGCGTCTTGCGGGAGTGTACACTGGGACTTCGGGCGAGGCGTCTTCCTTGGATTCGGGGCGGCGTAGCGAGGTCTGTACGGGGTGTAAAACGGGTTGTTCGCGGGATTCTTCCTCCCTTGATTCTGGTGCGGTGTAGCGGGCTCTGAAGACTTCGCGAGATTCTTCTTCTTGAGATTCCGGTGCGGTGTAACGGGTTCTAGGGGGAGTATACACTGGGGCCTCGCGAGATTCTTCTTCCTTCGACTCCGGTGCGGTGTAACGGGTTCTTGGTGGTGTGTAAGTGGGTGCTTCGCGAGATTCTTCTTCTTTCGATTCCGGTGCGGTGTAACGGGTTCTGGGGGAGTGTAGACTGAGACCTCGGGAGATTCTTCCTTCGATTCGGGTGCGGTGTAGCGGGGCCTTGGCGCGGTGTAAACACGGGCCTCGCGGGGTTCCTCCTCCTCTGATTCGGGGGCGGAGTAAACTCGTCTCGGGGAGGAATATTCCCGGATCTCGTGGGATTCCGGGTACTGAGCCTCGCCCTCGTAGCTGACCTCGGCCACGTAGCCTTCGTCGCCGTCCACGACGTACTTGACGGTCTGCAGGCGGCCGTCGGGGAGCTGCACGTAGTAGGACCCCTGAGTGTCGTCGCCGTCGCGGGACTCCTGGTGCCGAAGTCGTTGCCGGAGTCGTCGTCCTTTACAGCCCATTCGAAGTCGTATTTGGCGGGACCGTATTCCTCGGAATTTTCTCCTGAGTCCTGGAAATGAGATAGTTCTGGATTATGAAGTATATTAAGATCATTCATATGCAGAACATCAAATAGATCGTAAAAGAGAAAAGAAAATCTGAATTTACAATAAACAAGGATAAATGATCTGTAAATATCAACCACTAAAAATGAGCTTCCCTCGGTACCAATTTTAATAGTATAGATATATAATAATACATATATATATATATATATATATATATATATATATATATATATATATATATATATATATATATATATATATATATATATATACGTAGACAAAATAATTCCCAAATCCCTATAAGAGAATGTTCTACCTGTTACGTAAGAAACCTAGTTGCTTAAGATAATAATCAGAGTAAAATTCACTAAGTACGCTATTTCATTACCGACTCGTTATCCTTTTCAGAAAATTAAAAGAGAAACATTTTCGAGAACCTGAACAGAATCCCATTAGATAACCAAATGAACATTAAACAGCCAGTGTAGTAACTTATATAGTCCTGCATTTAAAAAACATTTATACTAATCTACCTGGTAATCTATTGAGTGACCTATCAATTACTTGTGGAATGACTACCTTACTAATCAATATCTCAACGTGGTATAGCATTGTTTATTAGCCTCGTACTGAATGGGGCATGAAGGGCAGCATACCTGTGGGGCGCGATAAACGGAGGAAGGACGAGACTCGAGAGACTCAGCTGAAGATCCTCCTCCATGCTGTTGGTGGTGAACGTAATCATTAAAGAGAACTTGTTCTTGAAGAAAGTGAAAACGCCACTGAATAGAGAAGGGTATATGTGTATATATGTATATGTGTATACATGAATATATATATACATATTTATATGTGTATGTGTGTGTACATATGCATACATGCGCGTGTGTGTGTGTGTGTGGTATATGTATATATATATATATATATATATATATATATATATATATATATATATATATGTATATGTATGTATACATGCGCGTGTGTGTGTGTGTGTGCGTGTATGTTTGTATATTTGTATGTATGCATGTATAGTATCTTTGTATATATGCATACATGTATAGATGAACTGATGTGTATACCCATACTGGTATGTATGTATGCATGTATGTATGAATGTAAATATGTATGCATTTATGTATGCGTATATGTGGGTATGTCTGTATGCATGTAGGCGTGCAGTTATGTATGTATATGGGTATGTAGTTAATGAAAGCAAATATATAAATCAATAATTATTGATAATTAACCGGTGATTTAGTTTCTTGTTCGTTCATAACGTATTCGTGTTTAAGAAATAATAGAAAAAAACACACCCTCTAAACTAGTATTTAGCTGCAAGTTGGGCGACTTCCGCCTATTACTGATGATCGAGTTTTGTTTTTCACTGATACAAGATCCCCCGAGGCAGTTTTAGAAAAGGTGTGAATGATCATAATTCTTTTTATTTTTTTCAGACCAGTCCCATACCTTCATTTCGCTCTCTGGCATTTCTTTATTTAAAGTGCAAACGTAAAAAAAAAAAAAAAAAAAAAAAAAAAAAAAAAAAAAAAACACGCACACACATTTTCCACCGTGGAAATATTCTTATTCACAGCTCTTCTATATATTTAAAAGAAGTCTGAATACTTACGCGTGGAGATTCGTAGAAGTAGGAAGGAGGAGAATCAGCTGTGACGACAAGAGCCGTGGCGGCGAGAATCCAAATCTGTGAATTGATTGTGAATACGATTGGATCACATTTTTCTCTAATGATTACTAGTTGTCAGCTGGAACATTAATAAACATCATCATATCACATCACAAAATAACGTTCATATCAGAAAATTTTCTTTATCTCTAATAATAAATCAATCTTATGGGTGCTATATATGCCAATAATTGACTCATGCCACGTAGATTGAAAAATCCCCTTACCTGACACTTCATCTTTCTTCAGGTAACGATCGCTTCACACTACCGATACCCAAAAATCCGACTCAGTATATATATACGTGTTTCCGAGGTCGTGACGTCACGGCGTAACCCCGTCCGACACTACCTGCTCTCCTTTTTTCTTTTCCTGGGCAGCGGACGCGAGGAAATCGGGGACGCTCAGTCGCTGGTCACTTCCCCGAGAAGAATTTCCTTGTGGCACGACGTCGATTTTTTTTTTCTTTTTTTCTTTTTTTCTTTTTTTACCTTCACTCAGTAGCGATTTGGAACAAGATGTGAGAGAAAACGAAATATATATTGATGGATGGATGTAGATTCGTATCAGAGGCTAGACAGAAATGTATCAGTAGCTAGATATAGACATAATATTGGCTAAATGTAGACACATCAGTGGCTGTTATAGACGTATTAAAGACACGCTACAGACGATTCACTAGCTAGAAGTAGACATACCAGCTATATGTATCTGTTTCAACCGAGAGATGTAGGTGTATCGACGCTAAATCTAGACGTATAATAGCTAGACGTAGGAGCATTGATGTGCAAATGTATACATATCACTGGCTGTATGTATAACGTAATTATGGCTAGATCGAGACATATTGCAGCTAGACGTCGAGATATCATTAGTTGGACAACTACACTACGTTAGATACAGACGCATTAAAGACATATAAACATATTCTGAGCTATATATTTGTGTCTCAGATATATCGGTTAGTTAAGTGTAGACATATGATTGGTTAGATATAGACATACAGTTAGATAGATGTAGAAATATAATTGGATAGATGAAGTAGAATTATCATGGCTACATGTAATTGTATCAGCCACTGCTTAGAAGTAGACCTATCAGTTGGTAGAAATAGAGGTATTAATGGCTATAATACCCTTGTAAGAGGTTAGATGTAGTCGTTAGTGGTTAGATGTAGACTATTAATGGTTAGATAAAAAGGTACTCATCTTTATGTAGATATACCAGTGGTTAGAAATACACGCATTAATGGCTATACATGAATATGTCAGAGGCTAAATGTAGAAATAGTATAAACTAGATATAAACGTATCAATGCCTAGATGTAGTTGTATTAGTTGCTTGGCGTCGGTGTACCAGTGGCTAAATATAGCTGTGTCATTGCACAGATGCAGATGTATAAACCTTTGTTTTGATAGGGTGAATTTTCGATCCGAGCGGGACAAGTGGAAATGTCAATGTCACCCGAAAGCTAAAGGAAAGGTCAGCCCAAGATGTGACAGACGAGGGAGAAACTACCAAGATTTCTCAACGCTGAACCAAATTTCTCTTTCCGTTTCAAAAGATCCCGAGCATGTCTCACGTGGCGTCGGATTACCTGTGTCTTAATTACCGGGTGACAAAATGGCCATTCTGCATGTGATCTCCACGCGGCTGACCTCGTGCAACAGCGTGCGAGACAAGGTGAAATTCCTGTGCAATTACTCGCGCGTCGTGACCGTCTTTTCCAACGCTCCAGATACGTTATTTCCTTTTTCCTTGTTCTCTCATACATCTTGTTCCTTATCTCTCTCTTGTGCTGGATTTCCCTTACATAATGTTTGGGCGTGTAAGCATTGCTTTCGTTTTTACATTTACTCCATTGCGTTGGAAATTTTCTTGACATTTTCTTCTCGTTGTGTAATATCCTACAGTGTCATATGCCAATATTAAATCCTTATCCCAAAAATATCTACAGACCCAATCAAAACCATACCTATTAATTCCCCCAAAAATATACGAAACACCGCTAAATAAATTCGACCCAACAGACAAACACAAAACGAACGCCGACACCCAAACATGGCACCTCAAACAAAACAAAATACGAACAGAGGCGTCAAGGTGTTTCTAAACAGAGGAAGTCTCTTTTTTTAAGCAGAGTTTCCAAGCGGGAAGTGTTGCCGAGTGCGAGAAGAAGTTGTCCTCAAGGAAGTCACCTCAAGGGAAGTAGGCGAAGATGTTGCAACAGCTGGAGCGTTTTTTTTTTTTTTTTTTTTTTTTTTTTTCTCGTTTCCATGCTAGGGTAAATGTGTAAAGCTTGGGTATTTACTTCCGTTTTTCGTTTTATTATTATTATTATTATTATTATTTTTTTTTTTTTTTTTTTTTTTTTTTTTTTTTTTGTCTTTGCTATTTGACCCATCATTATTGTCATTAACTTTAGGGTTCTATAAATGTTTGCTGAATCATAATCATCACTATCATCTTACTTTATTGGATTATTATAAATGCTTTCATTATTATTTGACTTATTTCTATCATTGGCATAATTTGATTTACTTTTATTTACAATATCATCATTATTTCACGCATCATTTTCATCATTTATCTCCATCATCATTAATATCCTTATCATTACTATTTCTTATTATCATCACCATCACTGTTATCATTATCATCATCATTATCATTACTATTTTTTATTATTACCATCACTGTTATCATTATCTCTATATCATCACTGTTATCATTATCATTATCATAATTACCGTCATTATCATCATCATTATTACTATTATTATTACTATTATTATTGCCATTATCATTATCATCATCATCACCTTCATTGTCATCATCATTATTCACAATGCTGTTGTGTAAATGCACAACTATTTTTAAGATCATTAGTTTCATGCGATAAATTTCATGCTTTTATTATTGTTATTAACATTATAACCATTTCCATAATTGTCGGCATCATTATCACTATTTTTGCTATTGTTATTACTCATATATACAATTTCATTATCGTTGATGTTATCATGTTTATCATTATGATTGTTATTATTATCATCATTATTGTTATTATTATTACCATTATTATTTATACCATTGTTATCATTATCATTATTATCATTATCAATATCATTGGTTTTGTCATGGTTATCAGAATTTTTATTCTTACCATCATTATCATCATTCCTATGATTATTATTTTTATCGTGAACATCCTTATTATCATCAACATTATCATTGTTGTTATTACCCTCATATACATTATTATCACCGCCAGGGAGATTACGTTTTTCGTTAGTTTGTTAGTTGGTTGGTTCGTTAGCATGATAGCTCAAAAAGTTATGAAGAGATTTTTCTCATTTTTACTGAAGTTGTGTCATTGCCTTAGATATCATTAGATTTTGATGGCGATCCGGATATTATTTATTCGTTCGTTAGCATTATTAACTCAAAATGTTATAAGTAGACGTCTGTGAATTTTTTACCACAGGTGTGTCTTAACTTAACTTGGATTTCATTAAATTTACGTGGTGATCCGGATCACGATCCAGATCCAGGATTTATTATTATTATTATTATTATTATTATTATTATTATTATTATTATTATTATTATTATTATTATTATTATTATTATTATTATTGCATCATTATTCCTGTTGCCTTCCTTCCGCCAAGGAGGGTTTGTTTACGGACGTCACCTGTATACTTGAGAAAGGTGATTTTAATGTAATTCTTAGTGTGAATAATTTCATTGCATCTGTGAACATATTGCCTTGGCGGAGGTATGCGCTCTGAGTGTGCCTCTAGCTGTCTTGTATTATTATTATTATTATTACTATAGCTTATTATTAATGTTATTTATCATTTTTCAATGCTGATGCTGTAGTTATAATTCTTAACTGTCATGATCATCTTCGTTTCTCTTATCATTTTCATATTAGCCTTTATGGATTAAGGCAATAAGGACCTGAGAAATCCATTCCTTATAAGTCAGTTATTTGTACTTGAGTGCATGCAACACAACAAATTCATTCGCTTTTGCAGTGCAGTAAATATGACATCAAAATTGCGTTTAAAGTATATGTCATTTATACCACGTGAATGTTTAGCAAATGTAACTTGTTTTTCAAATCGCTTTTCAAGGTATAACAACATAGCGAATTCGTTGTATTATTTTTCCCCTTCCCACTCAGAAAGCCTGTCATGTTTGATGCAGCTAGAACAATACTATATGCATAGTTCCATCTCTTTTTTCGCCGAGTCATAAAAGAAACTGTAGATTTATAAGAAAGATTTCCCAGCAACTACTATAAATGCCTAAAAAAAAATGTAGTGTAAATCATTTACATCAACACAGAATGTGACAGCTCAGACAATGTCATGAAGAATGGCTATCTAATGGCTAGTAAATATGTGCGAAACCATTCTCGTTACTACTACTATTACTATTATCTTGATTCTTTCCATTAACATCATTATCACCATGAACATTATTATCCTTATCATGATTTTTGATTAACTGACATTGTTTTCATTGGTATTATCATTATTTTATGGAATTAGGGTTGGAACTTCATTTCATTTACGATAATTTTACTTATTTTGTAACATTTAGTGAAGTTTTTTTTTCCGTGATAGCAATCACAATTCGTACGTGTAATGGGTAACTCTTTCATGTGCAGTAACTAACGCAGATGCAATTGATTTTAAACCACATAATAGGTATGTAGTTAAATAAAGCTCGAACAAGGATTATTTTCAGAATAAGCATTTCAGGCTGAAGTGCAAGTTAGATTTTACTACAGTTAAATATACAAATAAGTTACATTCACATCATCTTAAATCGGTTTAATCAGGCGGGATCCGTCATTTTTATCAGATTTACAAAGGTGAGCCATAAAATCTGGCGGGAGCTCGAACCAGCGTTTCGGACGAGTCCTCCTCGTCTGAGTCTTGGGCTGAGTATCGGCCTCGAGACACTCGATACTCCTCGGACTCAGGATGCTGAGCCTCGCCCTCGTA